TAATATCATAAAATGTATTAAATAACGTTTGTTTGAACTAATGGCCATAATAGTTGCCGGGCTTGGGATAAAAAAATAATATATATATTACATCACCGACTGACTTCACAACAGAACTATTTTTTGTAAACAATGTTTATTACATTGAATTCAAATTYAACTAACACACATTATYGTGACAAGTCTGATTTCACCCCATAATCTTGATGTAYTCATAAWAAATACTATGTCTGACTAATTGAGTGACTCTTCCTCCTCCWCTAGAATTATCTATGAAAGTCTTTGCAACTATCCTGATTCACCACTGATTGAAAACCTTAACAGCTCAATCTAACTAGAAAAAGCATAACCCTTTCCTATCCCTTATTTGACCACATCCTACTATTCTTTTATTCATTTAAATTTTTCTTGAACTCCCCGCTCTGCTCTTTTCGTAACARCCCCTTGACCTGCAAAATTTCTCATTTCCTATTCAACTACCCTAAAATGTTATCACAACGTGCTTACTCAAGTAAACATTTACATCATGCCAATTTTTAGGTCATTCAATAATCATAAATACTAATGTATATMAATTAATATAAGTACTTGATAAAATAATACTTTTTTCTTTATGAAATTATTTAATTATATGTTTTAGGTGAAGTTGTGGCAAGAATCATTAGCAAGTACTGATGTTTCTGAAATGGACACAGATCAAGRTGTTGAATTTCCATCACCACATTCATATTCTGTATCATCTAATGATTTATCAATGAGTTCATTAGAAATTGCTCCAGTGATGAGTAATAAATATCCTAAYAAACTCGAATGTCGCAGTGATTCATCTGGTTGTGGTATGTCTTCAACCAGAGTATCTAAAGAAAATACATTGGTTAGTGGTATTAATATATCAGTTGATAACAATGAATTGTGCTCTACCAGTGAAACGGTAAAACTACACACCTCTACACCCATAAAAAATGTTGGGCATCATTTAAATTCAACTAAATCCAAAAACACAACTGTATCAAACAAACATAACAATGAGTCACAAAAACGTTGTTCATCAAAAAAACATAGGAAATCGGTAACTATATGTCTATATGATAGCTAATTCTATTATAAGTAAAGTAAACGTAAAGTAATGTTTAATGGTTTATACAATCTTGAATCTTGAATTGTATATAGTAGATACTTTAATAAAACTAGTATCAAAATAATTATAAATCTAACAATTTGTTTATAGAAACCTAAAATTGAAGAAAACCAATGTCCAAATGAAGTAGATGAATTCATGTGCCAATTTAAACATTGCATTGGTGTCATTAATGGAGTAGTCACAAAAATGGAAGAAAGCTTTATGTCTCAAAGATAATTTTTTTATTCAAAATGTATTGTGCCTTTTTTGCATACTTATGTTATATGATAATAAATTGAGTTTAAAGGTTTATTAAAGGTTATCATGTATACCTATATATATATATACCTATTTTTTATATTGAAGGGTTTCTTGTATTATTATAAAATTGTTTTGTTATGATTTTTGTTTAAATGTTTGTTTTTTACGCATTGTCATTAAAATTAAATTAAAATAAAATAAAATGTTTATTATGTTATTACATATAGGTGAAACCAAAACTTATATTAGACTGTTAGGCTAGTATCTTCTGTTAATACAAATTTAATATAATATAA